AGATAGAAAGCGAGAAATCACTCCCCAGGGGGGATGGCCACACCGCAATCCCTTCTCCTCCATCCTCCTCTTGGGATCTTAGGCACGCACGCACACGCACCCTGTGTGAGTTTAAGCCACCGGGTCTGGGACTTGAACCGTGGTCAACTACATGGGAGTCCAGCGACATAGCCATTACATTAACTGGTGGTCCCAGGACTGGATCTTTGAGTGTCTCTCTAGGTTTGAAAAGTTTTCTTGCAGAATTTCATGGAATAGATTATCAATGCCTTTATGAGCCTCTTCATCCTCTGGGATGCCTATTATCCAGATGTGTGGACGTTTAATTGTATCTAGTACTTCTCGCATATTATTCTCGTATTTTGGGGCCATTTTCTCAGTCTTCATGGTGGATTTTTCTAGGCCAGCAATTTTCTCTTCTACATTTGAGATTCTATTTTCTGTATGATCTAGTCTGCTTTTAATACTTTCAAGGGAGATTTTGACTTCTTGTGTAATAGCCTTCATCTCTAACAGTTCCATCTGATTCTTTTGTAAAGTTTGAAATTCTTCTTTTAGATCTTGCATGAATTTCCTCACCTCCTGGAACTCATCAACTCCTTTCTCCTTCCTCTTCTGCAGTTCATTGTCTCTCTTCTCTTCCATCTCTGTTCACTTTGCCATTATGAATGTTCTACATTCTTTATCAGACATTTCCATGATTTCTATTGAACTGTGTGTGGATGTAGAGCAGTTATCCTTTTCCCTTGGAGGAGGGGTATTTTCCTGCTTTCACATATTTCTTGTGGTCCTGCAACGATTTCTAGTCACCTGGTGGATGGTCAGTTTCTTTCAAACTTTGAAATTCAATCACGTGAGTTTGTGTGCTGGAGGCTGAAATATCAGTGGAAAATCTTCATTTCTGTTTTTCCAAAAATGGCTAGTTCTCAGGAGCCATGAAGGTGTCTCTTCAAGAAGGCCTTGTTCCCTTGCCTCTCCACGAGAGTTTGTATGCTGGAGGCCGAATTATCAGTGGAAAATCTTCATTTCTGTTTCCTCCAAAATGGCTAGTTTTCAGGAGCCATCACTAAGCCCAAATTCACTAAGCTCTCTTAGAGCTGTAGGATGTAAGAAGGATGGATATTATAATAAATGTAAAAGGATTTGCTTAAGTATTTTTCTAGATAAATCATTTAATTTGCATCAGAAGTCTAATGTTTCTTTATATGTTAGAGTAAAGGCTGATATTTTACTCTTTTAGTATAGGTAGATTTATGTAAAAGCACATATTTTCAACCAAAATATGTAAGTATCCTGTATATTACTAGTAAAGGACATACTCAAATGTTAATAGACTATATATAGTATTAACTTTCTCTATATTCATGTACGAGCTTAAAATATGCTTATTTATACTTAAATGTATTTTAATTAAGTGTGTAAATAAACATTTCTCTAATTCAATCCTGTAATGCATTTGTACTTCATGTAAATGAAAATGGGAGGAAAGGCAAGTAATTTAGTGATATTGCTACAAGTCTATGTTACTTTGATATTTACTTTCTGTTCTTGAGAAAGTTTAGTAATAATATTCAGTTTATTATCTTACTATATGACCAAAATGAACACTTTTATAGTCTGAGGACTATAAATGATCATATTTTGATAGTCTCCAAAGTGCAAGTGAATGGTGAAAACTACTACCGTTTGCCATAACTAAGACAGATCCTAAAATATAGCATAAAGATGATACAGATGCTCATTGTCAAGAACTTTGAAGAGTCTGAGACTTTTTACCCTAATTTCAAACTAGCAGTTTACCAGTTTTGTGTTTTCTGTCAGAAGTCAAGCGACTCCCAGGACTGGCAGGTGGCATGATTGTTAAGGACGTTGGACTCACACATGACCGACTGCAGTTCAAGTCCCAGACCTGGAGGCTTGCTTTCTCACTTTCTCTCTCTCACTCTGTCCCTCTCTGGTCAAATTTAAATAAATAAATAAATAAATAAGTTAATAAATGTAAATAAAATAATTCTTTAAAAAATGATAAAAAGGCATAATTACTGATGGTACAGCAAGCAGCATAAATTTCATACTTGTGTAGGTTTCACTTATACACACTTCTAAAGAAATGGAGGTATCCAATTAGATGTACAAATAGTATATTTCTGTTGTAGTTGAGGATCTCTGAGCTTGGTAAATAATCTTTTATAATGCACTTCAAGGAAACCTGCTCAATCTTTGTCCCAGAAGGACACCTTTATTTTAGTTTTTAATTTTTTCCTTATATGAGAGAAAAGAGGGAGGGAAAG